TGTAGGAACAAAAAACTGTCACATTACAAATCTTTTGGGCAGGACGAAGTCTGTCGGGTCCGCTAGTATATATATATATATGTGTGTGTGTGTGTGTGTGTGTGTGTGTGTGTGTGTAATAAGTTTTTTAACAATAACAATAAGTTTTTTGTCACATTTATTTGAAAATTGGTATTTGTATTCTCAAGGCCCATTCACAATGCAAACAAACATAAGCATGGCGTTAACATAAAAGTTAGGACTACGACCACAAGCGGGCTCATTCACAATGCGTCCGCATAAGTATAACACTTAAGACGTTAACTGAAAAAAATTGCAAACTTCAAGTTTCTGTGCTTATGTTTAAGTACGATATACGAACTGAACCAATCACAGTACTTTAACTCAAAATCGAATATCGAAATATGAGCGAAGTCGATAGACGAACTAACGTATGCGCCATGGGCACAGTCAATGCCACAAAAATGATTCTCACATCCAACCAATAATAAACTAGAGTGTCTCAAAGCCAATAGAAACACTTAAGTTTATGTTAGACATTGTGAATACTTCAGTGTCACTTAAGTTAATGTTAACGTCTATGCGTTATGCTTATGTTTACGTTTGCGTTGTAAATGGGCCTTTATGAACGTATGTGTGAAAAGTCGAATGTGCTTTCATGCGTAGCATTACTCCCAGTTTGCTTTTCTCCGTATTCACTTGAACTTCAAATTTTATACAATTCCCACAACAAATCACGTTTTTGAATTTTTTTTAGAATATTTGGCTGGATTCGAAAACAAATTGTCAGTTCCCCTCCAGGAGACCAAGACGCGTCGAAAGATACTTCAGACGTTTCGAGTGGTGCACGGGAAGCTTTGTGATGAAACCGAGAGTGATGAATTCGCACACACACTCACGCAAACTCACAGTTACTCAAATACTGTATAAGGATTGTTTTTTTTTTTTTTTTTTTTTTTTTCAAAATACAGAAAAAGTAAATTTTTATAATATTAATTTGAAGATCTGCAAAATGAAATTTCTAATATATATAATAATATAAAATATATATAATAATATATTTTTTAAATTTGTTCCAACATGGTCTTCGTTGACGCGAGTCTCTGAACCTTATGGAATTCATTACCTTCTTATGGAATTTGTGGTATGGCCCTAGAACCATGTACCTTAAACATCGATCTTAAAGCGTAGAAATGCCGTACTGGCACGAAAGAACATAATTGATTTATCTTTCCAATTGAATATGGGGACCCGCAAGGCTCGATCTTAGGTCTTATCCTCTTTCTGTTATACGTGAACGATATGCCCTCGACTATTAAAAACGGAAGAACGGTTCTGTTTGCCGATGACACGAATGTTCTTTGCAAAAAAGAAACAAAAGTAGATTTTAGAAGTTTGAAATTGGTTTTGTAATAACATATTTGTTATTAATTAATAGTTAACGAAGGAAAAACAGTTACAATGCATTTTTGCATCTCAAATCAGCAATCGCATGCTTCATTGAAAATGAACAATTGATGTTCAGGCAAGAAAATGTTTAGGTCTCTCAAATCAGTCAAACCTCACATGGAATGTACATATAACAAAATTAAACACTACATTAGGTTCATTATGTTACGCATTCAGAATTCTTTCAAATTGTCAGCCTTCATGCAGCTCGTAGCGTGTATTTTGCAAATGTGCATTCCCGCCTGAGATATGGCATAAAATTCTTGGAAAACTCATCATGTAGTACTCAGACCTTAAGATTGCAAAATTAAATTATTAGAATAAAGAAAAATGCCATCCGCGTGATCCCTGCAAGTCTCTCTTCATTGAGCCTTGGAATCTTACCACTGTCTTGGCTATTTATTTACGAATCTGTAATATTTGTCAAAACTGACTTACTTAACGGTGGGAACATATTTTCATGCAATACGGATATTTATAATTACAACACACGTCGTAGAAATCACGTACATCAAGTGCTAGTTTCAACAGCTCACTATTGTAATTCCAAATTCAATACATGTTCTTTACTTGACAACGTATTGCCAGATGACATTAAACAATTGAAGGCGGTACATATATTTAAGTTAAAAGTAAAACAGGTTTCAGCATAACTGTTCCTGTATAATTAGAGACTATACTGATCATCAAAAAGAAAAATAATGTTTATTTTAACAAAACAGAGACGTATAATGAATTAGTTTACATTTGCATTGTATTTTTATTTTTAAAAGATTATTGTAACAAATAATTAACATACTTCTGATTCCGGGTCAATGACCCCCATCTCGATCAAGTTTTTATCCAGTGTCCCTGATACATTGAGCAAATGCTGAGATGGCCCCTTGCTTTGCTTCTGGAGGTAAATATAGCTTCCCTATGCGCACGTTTTGTTAAACTCTCCTTTTGCTTGTAATGGTAGGAGTAGAGGTAAGGGTAAGTTGCTGCGTTTACCGATGAAAATAAGTTTTCTATTACTTGGGAACGAAAATGTCTAGTTTTTTTAAATATGGTTAATCTAGCGCTTTATTAAAATTTATTTGTATTTATTTATTTTATACCTTTACTCATCTTTCAACTGTATAGTTAAATTGGGGGGAAGAGGTTCTGGTACTCAAGAAAACGTGCGCAGATGATCTTCTCCATTGTACGACATATGCAGTTTTTACATATCGTATAATATCGTATGATAGTTAAAATAAGGATTTATATTAAGAAGTGTGTCTTCAAATCATTGTAAGTAAAATTGTAATGGTTAATTTCTGATTGCAGTTCTCGCGAACTGCATGAAGTCTTCCCATCACGGGACGGCGTACATTATAATACTCTATGCTGCATATGACGGTAGCTATTTATTATGCACTCTCTTTGGTTACAATCACGTTTCCATGGCAACGATCTGGTGCTCTTCCAAACAATACACGATTGCCAAAAGTGGTTTCATGTATTGAGAAGTATATTATGAGCGTTCTATATGCAATTCTAAACAAAATGTGTGAAACTTTTATTCAGTTTCATTGCATTTTAATATTCTTTTGCTAATGGATACTTTCTCTGTGAGCTAATTGATTATTATAACCAGGGAACTGTCAGTGTGTCACTAGTTATTTTGAAGAAAACAGTAAAAAGGTGATTTATGCTAGAAAATGGGGGAAATAGATCTCAATAAATTAAGAAGTTTCTCGCCAGATAATTTAAGTGATGATGATATCAACTATTTATTTAAAATATTTATTGAATATGATGCAAGATATGACATAAGAGCCAGTGATTTGAAATTACTATTCAATCTTGCATTAGAAGTTTTGAAGTTTAAAGGTGAAGAGGTAAGTTTCCAAATTTAGATTGTAAGTATATTTATCATTTAAATTTTATTCATGTTTTTAGTTTTTACAATTGTTTTCAAAAAAAATTAATTGTACATATTGTATACACTTAGTACAAAGGTACCTAGACATAAATGAATGTATGAGAAATTTAAGAGAAAAATTACCTGGGTTAAGAGTAATACAGTTTGTTACCAGTAATGTCTATGGGTGAAATTGTGATATATGAATTGAAAGTTAAGCTTTCTGATCACCTTTAGGTAATATTACCTCATTTTGTCAGAAATCAGAATACAATTCTCTGAAATTACATCTGGAAAATTTTTCATTTTTCTCCTGATGGATAGTGTATATTTACATTACAGGTCTCAAAAGACTATTTTAAATATTTTGTATATATGCTCTGGAATATTTAGTCTTAGAATCTGGTTAATAATTATTTTATCCATAATACTTTTATTATAAATTTCCCTATTTTTTGTATTGGTTTTGGATATTATTCTCTAACTATACTAATAACACTCTTCTCTTTTCGATACTAATAACACCAACTCATTATTTTGTTGAAATATTCACTGCTACTGTTCATTCAAAATTACTAATTTGTAAATTCATTTCCAGTTATCTGGAAACCTCACCTCAAGACCTTAAATTTGCTAATGAATGTATCTCAATATATGCTCTCAAGTCAAACATTCATAAAGAATTTAAATTGGTTGATAAAATGTAAGAAATGTGTATAAATAGATGGTAAAATATTAGTTGGACAATTGTTGATTATTTACATAACACATTTTATCTTAATTTCTTCTTGAAAACCTCTTATTATTTGCCCGAAATGCATCTATGTTGAGGAACTATTATGCCATTGTTTTCATTCAATTATATTTTTTTAAAGTAACTAGTACATTGAATTATTTAAATAGCATTAGGTATTGTTTCTGGTTTACACAATTTGAATTTAAAAATTACTAACTTTATGGCAGAATTTTTGTTTAAAAATTGGGTTCAATGGATTTAAAAATTACTGAAAATACAATGAAGAAATCCTAAATTAGAAAGGTGTTCATAAAACCAACGGCCTTGAGCCCTACTGAACTTGCCCTTGAGTTCCTGTTTATAATACTGAACTAACTAAATGTTTCACAGGCCACGTTTTATGAAATAGAAAATAGGAAATTGTCTGCTGCTCTGACAACAAAGGACTTTCAACATGAAAATAACTTGACACATAGAGATGGTACCTGTAATATTTTCTCTGCTTAATATTATCATTCATGACATTTGTTTTTAATATTCAAATAGTCACAATAATTTGCCTGTTGAAATAGATCCCAACCTCGAAGATTTAAGGCAACAACTTCTTCATTGTGAAGTGCAAGTAGATCAACTTACATCACAGCTGAAATCATCTGAAAAAGAATTGGTAATTGAAAGGAGAGAAACAGAGAAGGTTAGAAACTTCTTTTATGCATCTTTATTTCACTAAATCATTCTGCATTTTGCAATGTAAAAAGGAAATAAAATAATCAATTTTAATAAGTTCCTGTGTATTTTTATTCCATTCTGAGCTTATTGCACTTTACTTGTTAATGGTATGTAAATAATGTTTACCAGTTTTTGTTTTAAATTTGGTTTTAGTTAATGAGCAAGATTGCTATACTAGAAAGAGAAAACTTGGAATTGAAGAGAGAAATCACTTCTGTTCGTGAAGAAGCAAGTGAACACAGCGCATTATCAGAAGCTGCTCATGAATCTGAAGTGACTTTAGAGAAACATCAAGAATTAATTACTTCTTTGGGGCAGAAAAATAAACATATAACTCAGCTCTTATCTGATATTGAGGTAATTAACAATAATTCAACAACAGTCAGAGAGTCATATGTCAGATTCAACTAGTCCTATGTCACATGTTAGCAATATTTACTATTTATATGATCCTTAATATTTAGTTATTCTTGGTTTGTCTTTCTGAAAGTAGAATTAAATTTTGACAACACATAGCAGAATAATACTGTGAATTTTGTTATAGACTCCTCAGAGTTATGTTTGATGTTGTGTGGGGCTATCTGCTCATGATTCCTCCAATTTTTATACAAATTGTCATTTATAATAATAACAACAATATTACTACTAATACTAATAGTGATGATGACAGTGATGATGATGATGATTATGATGAAAAATTGAAAAATACATTTAAGTACAACATTCATTTGAATTTTGACCATTGGATGTTATATTTGATGAATATTATTTTTTATTGATAATACAGCTAAACAATTTGTTGAAGCTTGAATGATTGTTTTTTGTGAACCAAGAGCCAATTTTTCCAACCTTTGGTTTTTTGGTTGCATAATCAAATGAACTTTGAAAATATTGTATTGCAGTAGAATTTAAACGAAGGTTTAAAAAACATAAATGGGATAAATTAATACACTACTATGAAATTCATCAAACATCTGTACACTTTATGGGCAATATTATTTTATTCACATTAATAAAAAAGTCATAAGAGGAAATATGTTTCGAATATCAATTTTGAAGCTTATTTGTGTGGTCTCGGAGATTATTTTCTTCCTAAACCAATAATCTCAAGTCCAAAATTTATTAATGTATTGAAATGTTGTAAACCAATGAAGATAATTTTATTTCTGTGTGAGAGTGTTGTAAAGATCACAAAAATTTTAACTGAACTGTTTCTTGCTTGAATTTCCTCTTATTTACAAAATATTATTCCAGGTCACAATTCCATGTAAAGTTATTGAAATAGGTAGTTCTCATTATTTAATGAAACAAATTAGAATTGAATGTTAACTTTTATTGAGTAGTAGTTAAGCATAAATATTGCCTATGAGCATTGATTACCTGCTCCCACACTTACAAAAGAGAAGTGTTTTACTTTTAAAAAAATAAATTTATCCCTTTAACTTCTGTAGGTGGTTGAGAAAGAGAATTTAATTTTGCGGGAGAAACTTGCAACAGTTCAAAGTGAACTCTCAGTAGCCACAAATCATCTTATAGAACTTTCTGGTGAATTGACAAGTGTGAAGTGTTCTTGCCAAGAAAAGGAAGGTAAGCTTATATGCTAACTATTTAGGCACATAATAAAAGTTCCAACAGTAAAATTGAGCCAGTCAATCTGTCAGAAGAGATAATTCAAATGTTCTTTATAATGTCTAGAGAAACTAGTAAATCTCGAGCAACAGAATTTAGGACTGAAGAATCAAGTTCAAGAAATGGTTGCACAGAAAATGCTTAGAGACTCGCAACTTGATGAGTTCACAGAGTCTATTGATAATCGTATCAAAGAATGGAAGGTAAGAGCTATTATAGGAGAAATAAAAAATGGTGATTGAGACAAAAAATGCTATAAGAATATTACATCAAGAGAGTGAAAGCATGTGAGCATTAAATGCATCTAATAATGTTTCTTCACAAGCCTTTTAAAATAATTGTCTTCAAATTTTACACTACTTGTAAAAAAAAATGTGATTCTACTTGCAAATCACTAATTGTGAAATCATAATTCTGTTTAGTGGTTACAGTGGGATACATCCTTTACTCCAAAAATATTCAAATAACTTCTGTACATGAATTTTTGACATAGCTATTCATATAAAGTACTTATCTATATCTGTTATAGAATTCATGAAAACAATGTAATTAGAAGTGTAATTAACGGGATTTGATCGGAGTAGAAAGAAAAAAATACAACTAGTTTGCTGTCATATCTGAAGCTGCTATGACTTTGGACATTTAATCCACAAACAATTAGTTATTAATCTACTGAAAGTGTACATGTACTCAATGTATTCATCTATCGATCATGTTTCGTAAACAATGTTATTATTATTCAATGTACTCTCCATATATCTTACTCAGTGGGAGAGAACCTTACCATACTTGTGTAAAATTATTTTGTTATTTTATAAAGCCAAAGGCATGTCATTTAGTGTTCAAAAAACAGTATTGGCACCAGGATAGATCCTTGTGGAACTCCACAATTTATCATTGGAGGACAGAATTAGTATGATATTTTGTTTTCTTTAATGTGCTGGGGGGTAACTTCTTGGCTACTTATAAATTGATACTTATATTTAATACTTATATACTACTTATATATTGATAAATATGTTTTGATCCATTGGTCTGTGATTCATTGAATCTCTAGCATTTCTAGTTTTGTTAAAAGATTGTGATGGTCAATAATTTCAAAGACTTTTGAGAAATCTAAGAAAAGGTCAATGAGAATTTCCTTTTGAATTAGTGAAACAAGTAAGTTATTTAAAAAGGAGAAGATTGCTGTGTCTATGGATCTATTATTTCTGAAGCCATGTTGTGAATTTGTGAGGACATATTTTGCATTAAGAAACTGTTTGAGTCCATTGTTGAAAAGCCTTCCCAGAATTTTAGCAAAACCTTATATCAGTGATATAGGCTTGTGGTTCATTGGATGATAATTATTGCCCTGGTTAAACAATAGTTTAATTTTTTGCCCTTTTGAATGCATCAGGGAAGTTGCTTGTTTTTAGGAAGTAATTGCAAATATGAAGGGACAGTTGCACTATATAAGAGGCACTTAAATATGTTTGATATAATCGGAAATGTCCAGACCTGCTGAAAATGTATCCTCCATTTGTCTTATGATTTTAAAAATTTCAGTGGTTTCATATAAAAATATGGAATTGATTTGTGTTAAATTATATGGTTAGTGTGTCTTATTGTTTAGAGAGGGTTGAGAGATAATTTTGCACCAATTTGTGAAAAGGGTTAAGTAAATGTGTCAACTTTTTCTTGTAGGTCTTGAAAACGTTTATTTTTGTTGTAAAGTTCTATATTTTTCCTGTTATTATGAGTTGGTGCTGTAGTCTTTTTAAAATGTTCCACATAGCTTTTGTTTGTTACATATATTTACAATAAAATACTTTTCATTTTCCTTAATTTTTATTCGTTTGATTACTTTTTTGAGGATTCAATTATATGTTTTTTAGAATTTAAGTAAGTCAGTTACACTTATGTGATAATATTTTGTATACATGCTGCTTGTTTGTTTGGTGGATTCTTTGTTGTATATTGTTTTCTTTCACATGACACTTTGATGCCTTTGGTTATCCAAGATTTAGTTTTATTTCGAATCTTTTTGAGTTTTTGTGGAAAAGTGGCATTGAAATGTCTTAAGTATTATATGTATCAATGAGTTAAACTTATCATTTGTATTAGTTGCTTTGTATACTACCCAATTTTGTAATCTGAGCAAGTTATGGAATTTCATTATGTTTCCTTGGAAAGAATTACAGGTTTCTGGTAAACTGATTTTCTTAGGTAATACCTAAAATGTAGTCCAGAAAAATATTAAAGAAAAAGACACACTCCACAATTACATCATTGAATTCAATGGTCATTTATAAGCATGGGGAAAACAAGACTAGACTACATAGCAGAGTAGAGGCCATTAGGAAGTAGGTCCTTGTATAGTAAATGGTGAATGGTAAATAGTTTTAAACTTCTATTGTAGGGAATACTTGAAAAGAAAGATGCTGAGATTGAAGAACTACAGATTCGGTTGACAGAGATTTCAAGTAAAACTGCAAACTCATACAATGTTGTAGAACCCAACCAGATAATTGTACTTTCGGAGGTAAATAGATTTCTTTATAAACTCTCCCTCATGCAAATTATTTTTAAATGATGCTAAAGAAGAAAAAACTGGTAAGTTATATTTCATTATTCTTAGGTTTACTCATTACTTTTATTTGTTGTTTATTTTTATTTATTTTAGAGCCTTACTTGTACAGCCAATAGTCATGTTTGCATATGTCTGAGCATTCATAAAATATAATGAAATATATCATTCATAATTGATAAATCTATCACATTTTTTTAGATCAACATCAAAACACTTTATTTCCTTGTCACTAATTGTTTACAAAAGAAGTGAGAAAAACTCACATGTTAATTACATTATTTTATCTACCCATTCTAAACGAAAATTGACAGCATTAAAATTTTGAAAGTTGACTTTATTTTACAAATATGGAAAGAGGTACAATAGTTTCATATTCCATTGCCCTTGTGATAAATGACATTGTTCCTAGCCACATTATAAATTGTCTTTCCAGAAATTCATGGGAAAAATCTTTATTTTCCATGATTTCTTTTTGTTTTCCCCATCAACTAATAAATATACTCATTTCTATCAATTTTCAAAATTTCCAATTTGTTTTTACAAAGATGAGTGGAATTTTACAAAAATATTTTTTTTAATTGTCTACAAAGAGTCCAAATACTGAACAGAAACCAAAACATTCAATTATATCATACACTTGTGTAATGCAATAAATAGTAACTCACAAACATATGAATACAATAAGTCTTAGAATTTTTTAACAATATTTTTTTTTTTTTTTTATCACCAATTTTTATAAAAATCGTATTTCTTCACAGACTCTCCGGAAAAGAGAGGATCAAATTGAAACTTTGCAAAAGCAGTTGACTCAAGCCACTAAAGAAATCAATGACAGTGCTGCTCTTATAGAGAAACTGAAACAAAGCAAGCCGAAGTAAGTGTCCTATCTTGAGTCTGCATTTTGTTAATTATGTGACTTTCTATTCATAAAGCTGCAATGTCAACATGAATGTTGAAAGAGGCAGCAAAGATGAAGTGGACCTGAGTAGCTTGACAAAACTTAAGGCTCAATTGCAACTAGCAGAAGATAAGATCCAGCTGTTAGATGGAAGGCTAAAAGATGCAGAAGAAGATGCAAAAGTGAAAGCAGAAGAGGTACTATATTTAAATTTAACTTTGCTGATTTTTTCACTAACATAGACAAAACAGTATTGCTTCATTTGCTTCTTTTTCTTTCTGGTTTCTCTTCATTCTGGGAATACTCAATAATTCAGAAAATAATGTATGAACCCTTTTTTAAAGAGCAGTGGTTGGAAACTACAGGGGTTGCCAATGCATGTTCTTCTTCTGATCAAGATAAATGATTGTAATCTGCTTCTTGAGACTTAAAAATGATCAGATATGATAGAAGTCTTGCTAATTTTTCAACATGATTAAGCCTTGTGGATGAGGGGGAAGGAAGGGGTTGAAGACCAACAGTGGTACAATGAAACACAGTTCAGATGTACAAGGTGCATATATCTTTTTTTCTCAACAGAAATGGCAGATTTAATTTACACTCATGAACGCACATTCAACACGCTCACGAACGCACGCGCGCGCGCACACACACACGTACATATAATCAGTGGTGGGCTAACCAAAAGGCAATACCTGCCAATTGCCTGGGGCCCCGATGACATTAACCTTTTTTTAACCTTTTATTTAATAAAACGAGTCAGACGCTTTATTTCTGTATTAATTTTAGAGACATTTTGAGATCCTAAATGCAATTATCAAATTCAAAAACAGCATAAAACGAAAGCGAAAATACATTACATTTTAAATCGTGGAAATTAATGCCACATTTCCTCAAAATCGCTTCCAAATTTTTCAACGAAAATTTCCATTTACAACTTGGTTTTGCTCTTCTGCAAGTAAATTAGTAATATTTAAGTAATATACATGAGTACTAATTCGGAATACCGTTAGGAAACCGAAAATATTTTTAAACCAATAAATATTTTTGACGGCGATAAATGGCAGCTGGCAAGAGGAAAAAGAAATTAGACGACTAATAACTAGCCCGAGAAAGTCATTGCCATTCTGTAGCACCGTTAGTTGTTCGTACATGTCACGGCCGACGTTTTTTCTTCAATTTGTTGCATCTCCAAGACGCTTGAGGGGCGTTGAGCGCTTTGCGCTTGGAAGTAATCCTCCATTAACAACAGCACGGGAGTAATCCTCTATTAATTATTACATTATAACGTCTCGTCGCAGTCTGTTGCCAAGAGGGCCGCTAAGAAGCGTCTTCGTGTACGCGCCTTTTACCAGGCGCTCCTGCGTCACTACCCAGTAGCCCGAAATTGGGAAGGAATTAGGATTGGGGTAGGGTTTAGGACACCTAACAGACGCTGGACTAGCCCTTGTGAAGAAGCCAAACTGGTTTTGTTGGAACAAAACAGGCTCTAGTCTCGACAGTGGCTAGATTTCCGACACCAGTTTGTCACCTAATTCAGTTGCTGTCTGGAGAAGAATTCAATAGTCCGGGTGCTCTTTTTGGTAGTTTTCCGTAGTTTCTCCGATCGAGGCGAATGCCGGAACAGAACCATAATAAACGGGCCTCTGACCGCGCGCGATCTTCTCTTTCTTTTCCTTGCCCTATCCTCACCTCTTACCCACAGTTACACTAACACGCACTACACGCCCTGCACATACCTAATGCATAAGGGTGGTCGGGAACTTAGAGCTTGTCGCGGCTCGGGCGGTGCCCTGCTGGTGGGAGATAACTGGTTGAAGGAAACCCCACTAGTCGACGCTAGGTCGGTGCCGGATCTCGTCATCCGGCGGAGGAAGATCACCTCCCGAGGAAGAACACGCACTATACTAATGGGATTAATGAGTTCCGTGGTTGACGTGCACGGAATCAGTAACAAGGAACAAGGAAGCCTGTGCTGCGTGCGCAGGCCTGCGAGGCGCTGGTGCAGCTGCGCGAGTACGAGGCGGGAGAGTACGGGCTGGCGGAGGCGGTGGCGGAGTTGAAGGCGGCACGGGCGCAGTGCCGCGTGCGCGAGGCCGACGCCCTGGCCGCGACGCGCGCCGCCAGCCGCCTACACGCCCGCGCGGCGCGCCTGCGCACGCGCCTCACACACCTCAGGTCAGCACGCACGAGCGAAATGACTAGCGCCTCTAATTTCAAACAAAAAATTCCGTCCTCCGCCAATTCATAAACAAAAAATATTTCTCCATGCGTCGGAGATAACTTACAGCATTAAATTTGGATTAGAGATCAAAACATTTTTATGTTTTTTGAATGAAGAAAAATCGGGGCCCCAATTAAGTTGGGCCTGGGGCAACTCCCCCCTTCTGGACCCTGGCTGGAGAAAATCTCACCAGATGACGTGTAGGTCGACGCCGTGGGGAAATATTCGCCACCCCTGATATAGAAATATGCATTACACTTATGGGACTAATGAACAGCTGTAGAGGCGCCTAGAATCACAAAATAATCAATCAGTTTCATCATTCATTTTAAATTTGTACAAAAGTAGTGTAATTTCGTAAATCAGCTGGACGATTGAAACACCAATCACTTGTGAATTACTAAAATTCAAAGTATGCTTCAGATGATGATTATAATAATAATAATAATAATAATAATAATAATAATAATAATAATAATAATAATAATAATAGAGAAGCAATTTTTAAATTGTATTTGCCATAACTATTAACATTACTTTTGATTTGTATTTTTTTTACATTTTTATGCAATACAGAAATAAAACATTTAAACAATATTTTTATTTATTCTTTCGCTAGTACTCATTTTACTACTAGAAATAGTTCGAATTAAAAATCGATCGGAGTATCAGTAAGAAGTTGTAATATTATACAAAAAGTTAATTGTTAATAGTAAACAAATAATGTTTCTTTTTTTAAATATACGCATGTTGCTTCAATGTATATGCTTTTTTTAAAAAATAATATTCATTTTCAAAGTGAAGGATGTCCTCTGGCCCCCATCGGAACCGCGCATGCTTACAATAAATTGATGAGTTTCGTTTGAAGCGAGCGTTCGTGTGGCGTGCGGGTGGCAGGCAGAAGCTGAATCTGCCGCCGGAGGAGGAGGGGGCGGACGAGGAGGGGGGCAGCGAGGGGGGCGAGGCGCCGTCCGACGGCGAGGGGAAGGAGCACGCCGCGCTCGTGCAGCGTGAAGCCCGCCTGGAGGACGAGAACGTGCAGCTCAAGCTAGAGGTATGTGGGTGGTAGCGGTGCTGCAGCACGCAGCTCTTCTCCTTCATAAATAATAAGGGCGATGCAGAATGACGCAGACTTTCTCAAAAGGTTATAGATTTCCTTGTGGTTTCCTCAAAAAGTTTGGCTGACATGTGATAAACTTTCACCTTCGTGGCTGCACGCCATCTCGTTTGTTGGAACTCGTTTGGATTTCTACTTTAAGCCCGAATTCTAAGACCATCCCAAATTTCCGCCCCTTAAAAGTCTGTTACACAGCTTCTAACAATCGCTTTCCATTTTCGATTACCCTTCTTGCAGTTAATTATCATTCCTCAGACCTTTTCTTATACGACCTCAACTACGCTCCCGGCTCATGTACTTACCCTCCCACGACTAAGATCGTTCTGTCCTGCAAGTCATAATGTCAGACTTTCAATTGCCTTTTTCCTTACTGATAGCGTTCTAAAAGTGTGTCTTCTTGCTAATAACAGCATCTCCTTCAGTTGTCTAGTATCTGTATTCTTTCCCATTAGCTATTATTTCGTACACATAGCGTAGTATTTATTTCTTGACATCTACTCTTTTCCTATTTATTATTTATATTATTATTCACGGATATTCCTCACGTGACCACAAATACACTTAAATACTTTATTTGGCACTTTTCCTCGACCCGTCTCTTCCTATTTTATTTACATACATACATACATACATACATTTATTAGAACTGCAATTGGGTATGACCCGGTGGCAGTAATGGCATAATTGCAAAAAATTACAACACTTACATTAATAAAATAATATGATCATAATAACAATAATAACAATAATAACAACAACCAAAATAATAATAATAAATAACAATAATAGATAATAATAATAATATAATATAATAATAATATAATAATAATAATAATACCGAATACATATTTAAAGACGAAAAGCAGCATTGAAAAGTGCATTTTTATCACTTCACCGCATCTTCACTTCACTTTCACTTCTCTTTACTACACTTTCACTTCATTCAAGTACACTATCATTTTTTTTTTTTGCTTTGGATTACCTGTTGAATTACACACTGACTCTACACTTCACAGCAGATACTTATTTAATATCTTGTTCATTTTTGTCTTCTAAAACTCGGACACTAGAGGAAAAGCTTTGAAAACTGCTTGCAGGTAAACTGTTCCAATCTCTAATTGTTCTGTTACAAAAGGAAAACTTCCCAAGATCTGAATTTTGTTTCCAATTTATATATTGATTCTAACGTATGTATTTACCTTTTTTGTTGCTTTCCTACACATTACTTTTAAACCTTTGTGATGATTTTCACGCAACCCAGGATAGTTCATTGATAGCACGTCACGTCACCTACAGTTTTTAACTGTTTTTAAAGTAAATACATAAATAGCACAGAGAGGATATCATTTACATAGAACCCCGTCGAGGTGAGTCTGTTTACATCTTGTTCGGGGAATGCAGAGAAGGGTCTGTGTTTTTTACTTCCATCGACTTGCAGCTCAATCCATGTCACATTCATTCTTTTATCCCCCCTTTTCTTCCTCACTGGCTTTCTCTGTATGCTGAACGTATGTTCTTTGTATGTTGAAAGACACCTATGTGTTTGCCGTGTGTGGCAACCCGTGTCGAAGGGAATGAGTGAGTTGGAGGTTGAGGGGTCTGTGCATTCTCACTCGTATGTCACCCTGACGCTGGAACTTTGGAGGACTTAATCCAACTGTGTTGTACGTTCTGCGTGCTCCAATTCGAGTAACCTTTGCCCCCGGCCTCTTCTAGACGGGCGATCGGGAGCCAACCCACTCACGATCGGTGAACTTGAACTGAAGGCGAGGGTGGGGTAACTCCTTGTTGGACTCCTTGGTGGGTGGGGAGAACTTAGACCAAAAAATTCCATCTTACGGAACATAAACACAAGCCCTTGCCCTCTCCCGGAAGGAAAAGGTGATGCTTTGAAAGACCGGCAGAACACTCTGGTGATGCGACCTTTTCCTTGAGAGGAATTTGTACATTGCGCATTCTTTCTCTTTATTTGTAGTCTAAGAAGTGCTTATGTACTGTAATGAGTGCTTATTTTAAGCAATTTCTTATTGCATACGGATTCGTTAGTTTCTTTGATTTGACAATTTGGATAAACTTTCTATTATTTCTTGATAAAAATTGAGGCCTCAAAACCAGATTTAAGAAGGAGAGAAAGAGGAAAGGCCTAAAATCCTTGCTAGAAATTTTGATTTTAATCTCTGGGTTTCTTTTCAGAATCGCAAACTTCATCAGCACATAAAAGAGATAAACCAGAAAGTGACAGATATGTCAGTAAAATCGACTGAGCAGATTAATCAAGTAATCCCATTAAATGAAAATATTTTACGAAAAGGTAAGTGTTGATGTTTGTTTCAACTCGTTTTTATTCTGTGAAGTAAAAAAAATTAGAAAGACATTTGTTAAGTTGACGTGAAATTTGCTGTGTTCCTAATTTTTGCATTTTGACAGTGATTTTGATTTATCGCCTCAAAGTGTCAATATTTGTCAGCAATTTGAAGTAAATTGTTATTGCGCCAGGACACTTGAATACGTATCCACTGATTTGATTTCGGCATGATACGTGGTATTGAGCATTAAAAAAACGCCTAATTAAGAAATTGGCACCGCATAACCAGCTGGCATTTGCATCTAATTCTAACTCGCATCTTCGTCATGACTGGTGTTTTTTGCCTCTGTTGAAGGATTGAGCAACTATCACTTTGATATTCGTTTCATTGATTCACATGTTCACTGTTTATTATAGAAGAGTGGATTGTGAATATTATTACTTCAAGAACAGATGTGTTCTTTTAAAGCTTCGCGCTTATTTGTTGCTGCCCGCGAGGTTTGCAGTCGTGCCGACAAACCGAGCTGCGATTAAACATTTTTCGTAATACTGTCCGTTAATATATGTACATAACGCAACTCCATAGAGGAATGAAAATATAATCTTAATGTCCGCCGGCCGATAATTTCATAACGGCCGGCGACCATTAAGGAGCCAAGTGATCTTCGAACTAATTATTATTATTATTATTATTATTATTATTATTATTATTATTATTATTATTATTATTATTAGTATTAGTATTATTATTATTATTATTATTGTTATTATTATTATTATTATTATTATTATTATTTTGTGCAATTCAGTGTAACTAGCACTTCATTGCTCGTTGCTTCTATATCAATGACACAAGTTCGTCTTGTCTCAAAACGGGACAAGGGAACAAATGGGCCCAGGAGTCAAATGGGACAAGGGGACAAAATGGGGCAGGGAGACAAAATTGTTTTAGTATATTCTTACGATAAAATCACGGTCTTGCAAATGTCGCGAATGAAGCAAGAATCGTATAGATTTGAAATGGAAAATAGCGTTGTACTACTACGTATTAAATGCAAAGGCGTTTCTTATTTTATTTTTTTTTTCAAATAATTTTCAAAAAATCACAAATAACAGACTTGGTTGGTTATAAACCTCAGCTGACGCCTCGGTTTACAAACTTCAACCGCGTCTGTTATTTGGTGTTAATCGGCCTAATGACGTTAACAACTATAACTTGCGCGCGCATCTCTCAAGTTTCATAAACGTCTGGAGACGCGCTGTCGAATGCGTCCGAGGTTTGTTAGTGAGTCTGCAGTTCGGGTATAAAAGCGAGCGGACACAATATTATAATTCTTGTTTTTTCTATCGTCGTAGACATTGTTGTGAATGTTGTAAGGGCAGTGCTTTCTTCAATTCGGCAAATTATAACATTCGCATTATGTATTCAATGTCCAGCTTATTGACTTCATTTAGCGTGCATTAGGCGGGAGAGAACTTGCAAATTAAAGACAGGATGACCAGAGCGTTTTCATAACATTATGGTAATGATAATTAATAATAATAATGATGATAATAATAATAACAACAATAACAATAACAACAAGAAGAAGAATGACTACGCATGTGAAAAATCTGAAAGATTTCTATCTCCAAAAGGCAAATTTCAACGAGTGCAATTATAAAAACAGGTTATAGTTTACTGCAATTATAAAAACAGGTTATAGTGCTACACCTCTTTCAACTGCTCAACATAATGCACGAAGAAACTCTCAAATGAACAACTAGAATTAGTGGTGATACAAAATAGCACAGACTTTCTCGTCCTAGTTTCCGTGATCTTCAGTCTGGGCCGTGTTTTCGGTTTTTTACCACCGTCTTCCCATCTGCCATCTAATGGCCAGATTTCATCAGAGTCCTCCTGTAAGGATCCTCGTTCATTCATCGTTCTTTCATTCATCTCTTTTTTGGTAACATTTACCGAAGATGACCAAAATATGTTGTTTCTATTTTGGTGAAGATATTCTTATATCTTCCTCCGTCGCAGTATAATTCTGATTGTAAACTTGCCGTTTAATTTCACGTCTCGGCAAATCGTGATTTGACTATCTTCTGGAAACCATACCGTGAATTCTTTTGTGTAATTGTCGTACCCAACAAAAATTCCTTTCTCTGCTTTCAGTGCCAATGTGCACATTTGTTTCTTTTGGAACATGGGCAAATGCGTATTCTCCGAATATTTTGAAACATCTGGAGTTCTTTTCATTCCCTAGTCATATGGGATCATGCCTTTTTTATGCTTGTTCACACCGTTCTCCAAATGTTTCGCTGATAATTTGAGAAATTCTTCACAACGTTCTGCTATGTCGCTCTTTCCCTTCAAAAAAAAAAAAACAAAAAAAAATAAACAACAACTTGATTCCAAACTGAATAGTGATCCTTGATAACAAGAGGCAGCGCGAGTCACTGATTGATTTTACCTGCATAGGTCCACATAAATCGGCGTGTATTATTTCTCCTGGTTCCCACGTCTTCGATGTGGTATTCTGGAATGGAAGTCAATGCATCTTACCAAAAATGCAATCTTCACAACATATATTTTATCAACTCTGTTTGACCTTCTCAGGAATTGTACGTGTTGAAAATTCTGTAGAACTAATTTCTCATGCCAGGAGTTTAACGAATCCCTTTTCACGATGCAGACTTTGTTTCTGAAAATTGCTTGTCCAGTGAATTTTATTTTGCGCACAATGTAACAAAAGTACCTGCACCAACATTGGCTGGATAATTTTAATATAAATTGTTGGAATACATCAGATTTAATCTATAATATTAACAAATTTATTCATGCAAAATTTCATTTTGCGTGAATAAATTACAGCAGCCATCTTCCATAACTGTCAATTTGATCCTTAATCGTGTGGAAAGGCAGGCGCCTTGGTTCAGGGCCCTCAGTGCGAGCGCTTTCGATGGTGCTGATAGTTTCTCAAAAAACACTCTGACGCAACACCCACTTGGAGTTTAGATTGCAATGCTTCCAATAAAAGAAAAACCCTTACCGCTGCCCATTAAACATTAGCTCTAAGAGAAGCCCACATCCCTCTGGGTGAAGGGGTATTTTATGCTGTAACCCCTTTGAAATGGCCAGATGCCAGCGTGGAAGCAAGGGAAGGCAGCTGCGAGCTGGTGCCGGCGGCGCCGCCGGTGGAGCAGGGCGACGGGGCTGCGGGCGAACTGGCAGCGGCGTTCATAGGCGAGAACGAGGCCCTTCGGAAGGGCATGCACGAGATCCTCGACAGCATTCGGAACCAAGACGGTAAGTGGGGCGGGGTTCAACAGACAAATCAAGGACGTAGAAAATAAATTACTGAAATAACGTATCAAAATATCTACAATTTATCGAAAAACATCAACAAACTTTCATCCATTTTTATATACCAGAACTAAAAATACATTCAACGCCCAAACACTTTTATTATATATTTCGTAATTTTGTATAGGTTTCGGAACACATTTACATTTATTCTCCCTCTAAATGCATTTTTATTTACATAGATTAAAAAGGATTTTTTTTCGTTTACGCAGTTCTAGAAGCAGTTGTACTTTGAAATATGCCCTTTGCAGTGCTCAGGAAAAAGAGAAAGGGCAAACGGAAAGATACGTGGGTAATAAATAATTTTAGTATGTAGTTTAGTTTGTTAATCGTACGTTGCAATTCGACATTGTGAATTTTTAAGCAATATTATTGTTTCACTACCGATTTCGGTAAAAAAACATGTAAGGATTAAAGTGGAATTAAAATGAAACTAATGGTACATTCAGTTTTTTCAATATGGATAAAAGTACGATTTTAGAACTGTAATGCCGTATTTCCTAAATAATTGTTAGACATTATTTTAAAAATAAATGTGCGAGTTCATTGTTTTTTATACGGTTGATAGAACTTCATCATTAACACATGGATACTGTGGTACTGGTGAAAAAAGTACCTTTTACTACTTACCCATTTCTTCTTTACTCGTATAACGAGGAATGTCGTTACCCTCTTATTTATCTACAAGTGAAATATACATGTCCTATAATTTGCTTGTATGTTAATCCTCAGCAAAGAATGCATATGGCCCCCACAGGGAGTGCTCACATCTCGGAAAGAAATCTAAAAATATGGGAGGAATTTCGTAATAGTAGTTCATGTAATTAGTTTATAATATGACGCTTTATTTCATGTGTACATGGTTTGAAAACGAGCGACGCCAAGAGCGAGTTTCCAAATTAGTACGAATGCAATAAAGCAACATTATAAATGATAAGTGAAACAATACATGTTTCACTTATCGTCTGTGCACAATCGCTACGAAACTGCTTTGCGTCTCCTCTGATTTTCGTAACAATGCGAGGTCGTCACTTCTAATGTGGAAAAAAATGAATTCCGAGAAATATGGCAATGGGTAAATTTTTCGTCGCGGCCGCCCAGATGATGCGATCTTTTGGCGACTCTTCGAACAGAAAGCAGTTGACAATCGATGACAAAGAACTTTTTACAAAAAATGAGTATTTAGTCAATTGGGAAGGGAATCGCGCGGTTTTTGAGCAAGATTAGTGAGCAAGATTTTGAGCAAGTTTCTGGAAATGCAGTTTCATTATTAACTGCAATTTGTTTTAAACATCGTGTTGCTAAGTATGCAGAAGATCCAAGGTCATAAGTGACAGTCTTTAATTTATAGGTTTTTAAAGGAGCTGAAGAATATTCCCTCCAAAGCATTTTTTGATAATTAGCGCGTTCTTCATTCAATCGAACCATGTGATACATTTTCTTCGCCAGCAGCAAAGGCGCATTTGAAAATTCTAAATCTTAAAAGTATATCAATTAATTCAGGCTGAATGTTTGGGCCAGCCCAGAGGATATTTTTTAAACTCTGCCCAGAAGTGGTTTTCACCGACGCGTGAAACACAATTCTCTATTTTGTGGTTAGTGAATTAAGATTTTGTACACAAAAATGCGGAATGTAATTGCTTATTACACTCCTTGTGTCATTACATTCCTCGTATTCTCTCATAAATGCTGTATCATCTCTTTTACGCTTCTCATCCTTTTGAAAGCGGTGTTCTAAAGACAACAAATCGCTTCGCGATGATCCTCTCAGTAGCGAGGGGTCTGCTTTAAAGAGCAACGATTCAGAATACTGACCACTGGGTAGCCTTCGGGTTGTGGCTAGAAAATGAGCTTTGGCGGGGTGAATTGAGTATTCAGAAGTTAAAGTAGGTGGCAACTCGTTTCTATCAATCTGGTCTCAGATTCATTGCATATCAAATTCTTTACTACACTGTAGTGTATCCTGTTCCTCCAGGAGGAAGAAACATTTGGTCTTAGTCTTCTACTTGCATTCACTGATTTGAACTGCGTCTGCTATGACTGAACCTAACAGTGTACCCAAAATGACAAGGATGCTATTAGGTAGTGAGATTTTTGCTTTGAAAACTTCAAAGAACACTGAAGAGTTTAATAACATGTCAACCTTGTTTGACAAATGGAACGTATCATCTTCAAATTTGAGATGTGTTGGAATTTTTAACTTTGACACATCAAGGGAGTTTTGAGGCAATTTTGATGAAATATACGGTACAATTAAACTATGTCCTCCAGTTTACCAATCTTTGAAAAGAGAGTTGATAGTTAAAATCACTTTTGCATTCGATCCTGATTTTAGATAATTAACTGAATGTATCAAATAGTTATACTTTGTTCTTTGAATATTTAGTAATTGGACGAGATAAAGCAAATTTCACTGCCCGAGTCCAGCAACTGGTACATCATTACCCATTTTGTCAGTAACTAATATTTCAAGGTCGAAATGTCTTTGTTTCACTAAATGCCATATGAGAGAGAAATTTCTCAGTCTCTTGTGCTTCCGTGCTTAACCATAGAGCATTCTCCTTCATCCGGGGAAGATTGTGACTGCACATTAACAAGAATTCCTACATTCGATTTTGAGGTTGAGTTTGAATTCACTGCCTTTGTTCCCGAGGCCTGTTTCTTATAACTTGGGTCATCCAAGAGAGAATGATGTTTCTGATTACATATCCTGCACTTCTTTTTGCTACAGGTGTGGAAGTTTGAAATGTTCGATCTTTTCTTCTAGAACGCTTTCAAAGAGTAGCGAAACTGAGCTGTCGAAGCGTGGCCCCAAATTGAACTAATTTGGCGGTCCATGTGCCAACATTGGCTGTTCCATTTCCCTCTACCTCCCCCCGATTATTTCACTGCGATTGGCCGAATGCATGATGAACAATCATTCGTGCCGCAAATGCTAATTTGGCATCATTTGTGCTGTAAAAGGTCATTTACGAACGATTTCTTGAAACAGAAAAGTTCGTTTATAATTCAGATATTCACAAAAATACGTGGCATCTGCGAAGTCCAAGTCCAACCGCCCAGCCAGTGTAGCGAAATGCGTGCGCAGGGTGCAGCGACGTGCAGGTGCAGTCGGAGAGCCTGGAGCGGCTGTTGGAGGCGCTGGACGCGCGCCACGTGAGCGGCTGGTACCACCCGGCGATGCGGCTGCAGGCGCAGCTGGCGGCGCTGCACGGCAGCAACGGCGCGCTGCGCGACCAGCTGCGCACGGCCAGGTAGCGCCCACTTCGTTGCCAACGCTGCGGTTCCACAGAGTGACTGCTTGGTGGAGCGCTAAAGCGGACTCGAGCATTTTAGTTCGACGCAGAAAAAATGTTTTCTGGTTGGAAACACTTTGTGCAACTTTATATTGTGGAGCCGTTACAAATAATACGACAAACTATGCTGTTGTAGCATCTCTAGTTTCATTAATTGAATAGCGTTATACAGAAAACATTCAACCCAAAGGAGTTAAAATGGCTTTTATGAATTATCTTAAAATTTCGACCAGTTGGAATGTACACTGAAAATGAGAACTCTGTGTAATGTAGTTTTTGACCTAATTCAAATTAGTTTTGCACAATACATCATATAATACATAACAACACTCGCTCTCTATAATTTAAGAATTAACTGAATATGTGAGTTATATTTTGTCTGCAGAGCGGTGCATATAGCCGTGCATAGGATGCCGTGCGATTACGAAATGGTATTCAGATGTCAGAGATCGCCATTACTTAACTCTTACTTAGTGAGTTGGCCGCTTTCTGTAAAATACCCTTAATATTTTATCTTAATGTTCCAAATGTATTGTTTTTTTTTCAGGTTAGGAGAAAGGGCCGCAAGAGATGAATGTGAACAATTGAAAGCGAAAATCGAACAATTGGAATCAAACAACACACAAGACCCTACGTACATGAAAAATGCAATATACAATGCGATGCCAGTTCCTGTAGATGCTGATGCTTCAAGCGCAGTGATAATCGAGAAGTTAAATTATCATTTATTGGAAGTTTTAAATGTAAGTATGATGAGTTTTCGGTTGCCGCCAATTTTCACATACTTCTTAAATTCATCTCATCTCGTTCCACGTGGGAGAACTTGAAGGATATATGACGGTTATTTCTGTCAAGTCGTTTAACTCTTTCTCAAATTGCTTTAGTCAACAGTAGCACAGCTTATTATACAAATACGAAAATGACTCGCCCAGACGTTGCTCTCTGACAAAACTCACTTCGGGTCGTATATCAGTCTGAGCGGAAGATGCCGCAACCTTTCCGATCCAGGGGAATCGTACTTCAGTATTATTGACTGTTGGGTGGCGTCTCCGTTTCGGGGACGAGGGTTGGTGATGAGCCAATGAGGGAGAGTTATTATGGCCAAGCCCTCACAACTGGATTAATGGATAGTTTAGGACACAGGATAAATTGAGCGGTTGTGACCTTGATTGGAGTAGTTGATTTGTGTGCAGGTTTCAAATATGACTCTGTATTGAGTTTGTTTTCATCATTACCTTCGTTTTGGGGGAGTGTAGCAGAAATAAAAGTATAAAATGAGAAACCGGAACACAAGATGAATATTAATAATGTTTTGATACATATTTTCTATGTCAGCTAACCATTTTTTTTAACTACACAGATATGCTAGTTTTCACCTAATAAGTTCGATTCAATTAACTTTTAAAATTGATTGGGTAAAATAGCATTTCAGTCCACCACTTTTACAGTTAATTACTGTTTAAGGAACACAATATTGACCTCTTAATATTTGTCGATATTGTATCGTGCCAATGCTGGATTTATAAAATTTTAGGTACCTTAACGCGCCTCAAATTAATTATTAATTTAATAAACTTAGTTAAATAATTATTATATAATTTAATGATTATAAATCATACGTAATAATTGGTGGTAGCACTGGCTTCGTGTGAATAGAATAATAGTAGTAATAATAATAATAATAATAATAATAATAATAATTTCCCTACCCTCGTTCTTACAATAGAGTTCTGAAATGAAAAATAAAATACGTCCGTTAGCACACATCGACGTTAGAATCTGATTTCCAACATTAAATATTTCTAGAAAATATCACGAGTCACCTGCCACCAGATTTATTCGATGTTTTTCCAACACCCGCATCGCCGCCCCTGCGTATTTTACTGCTGATTTTACCGCCAACTCGCCTGCTCACGTGAGGAGCATGGAGCGTCCATAAGGAAGAGCGTCGAGGTTTGCGCGAACGTGTCCCTCTTCTGTAGGACGCGATGCGCTACGCAGCTGATTCGGGCGTTTTTTAACACCGTGCTAATAGCGTCTTGCACAGAAAAAGCACTTGATTTCTTGGAACATCGACACTTGTCGCGTCCGCCCGGCCCGGGCACTGCTGCGTTCTGATTACTACGTTGCGAAGTTGCATTCTGCGAATTAAAGACACATTTTTTCAGATTTTGCCCTGTTTTTCTCTATAATGAACACGAAGAATGTTGACTTCGTGATAAGTTTGCGGTTGATGGAAATATCTTGCATCACGTTTAAAATTCACACTCTTAGATCTAATTTATGCCACAGAGGGTTTATAATTATGTTTGAATCCTTTGAGTTATTTTCGGCGCTTTATGTGATATTATTATTATTATTATTATTATTATTATTATTATTATTATTATTATTATTATTATTATTAGAAAAAAGTATGTTTTATAATGATATCTTATCGTCTTTGAGTAATAATTTTATTAGATTCGTAGAAGTGCAGAGACCAAGTTGGGTGTAAAGTATTACACGCGCTCGATTTTTGAGCCCTACCCCTCCTCTTTTGACAATGTTGAATGATAGACAAAGGGCACCACCTTGCGAGCGCGCCAGAAACTTCCGCAACGGCCTGACTGTAGACCGCTCGTAAGACAGACAGACAGACGCTTGACGCCGGACTCGCGGTGACGAAGGTGCTACGCTCTTCTCGTACTCCATACACAATACTGTTAATTCGTAAGTTCGCTAAATAAAAGCCATTACGATTGAGTATTGTCGTTATTCATACAACAGACAACATTAGATTATTTAAGAATAAACAACAACGAGCGTTGTTGACAAAATCGGATAACCAGAAATGTTCTCTCCCATGTAATAGAAACTATTCTGCTTCAAAAAGCGAACGAATCGCTTCGATATAAAATTCCTTTTGTGAAAATAATCAAACTCGCCACGCAACTAGCGAAGCGAGGGCTCGGATAATCGCAGCTAGCTCTGTGTGCGCAGGAGAACGCGCAGGCGGAGGAGCAGAGCGCGCGCCAGGAGCAGCGCTGGCAGCAGCTGAGCGCCAAGTACGCCGCGCTGCGCCACGAGGTGGGGCTGCTGCTGCTGGAGCGCGCCGCCGCCGCCGCCGAGTGGCGCCGGGACCTGCGGCTGCTGGGCGGCGCCGCCGTGCGCGCCCTCGCCCTGCTCGCGCCCGCCCACGCCCCTTAAGCCACGCCACGCCACCAGTTTCAGTTGAACAGCAGTATGAATTTAGGCCGCCTCCATCGTCTCTCAGAGAGGTTCGTCAAAAGTGGCTCGATAGAGCGGTACATGTGTAAAGGATGGCTTGCTAGTCTCATGTTGTTGTTGTTTTTTTTCTTTCGAGTTATGTTTGTCATATATCTTTGTGCAATGTAATCGAACAATCTTTTTCTCACAATAAATTCGATGAATGCTTGTCTTTGTTGTGTTCTTTGTGAGGAAAAAAAACAACTCCATGTTACTCAGCCTTTGTGCACGGTTGGGTGGAGCAATGAAGCATCTCCAGTTCTTTCTATGTTGTTAGTGGATGCAGTATGCTCTTTATTTTTGTCTTTACGTGTGCTGTGCAATTTGCTCAATGGTGCCTCTCCCTTCATTAAACGTGACATTTTCTTGGAATATCATAAAATCCTATTATTAGTGGCAAACACGTCATGACTGAGGATTCAAACATGACCCATTGCTCACCCAAAGATACCGTTCCTGAAAGAAAAAATATAAGGAGATCATTGTAATTATGGGAAAAGGCAATAAAAGGAACTTAATGTTGTTTTTGCTTTTGTGTTGAATTCCTTTCGTCTCAGAAGAAACAGTAGACAGCAGCACTGTGAGAACGTTCAGTGGTGACTGTCGCGTACATCTCGGTCCATTAATCGATCACAATGTAGCAATGAAAAATGCAGATGACAACGAGACGGACGTCGTTTACAAATCTGCAACGCACTGCGGTCGCAGGAACTTGGGGTACTGAGGAACATAGTGATGTAAGTCACGATATTGTCCATTTCAAGTTAACTTCGTTTTCTATTGAGATATGTACAGTTTATCATGTATCATAGTGAAGATAGACATATTACTTCCTCTGCTGAAGTTAGAGTTATGATTAACCTCACTATGATTGAAGATAAATATTGCATTCTTACATAGGAAACGAAGTTAATTTGAAATAATATCGTGACTTACACCACTGTGTTCCTTAGCACTCCGTTTCTATTTATTATATATTTTATACATGTCTTCGCATATCTTCATTATGTCGTCAATAAAAAGAAAGTTATTTACACACCAAGGGCGTTATGAGGGTTCTTGATGAACGATTGGAGAAAAAACGTCCAAGAGCTTTTTTATTACTTCCCCGATCACTGGAAACAATTAACGCCTGTGATACATACAATAATTTATTTTTTTTACATAATTTTAATAATTCAGATTTACTTATTAACCAAATGTTAACTCGTTTTGTCTTTTCATATTTCCCTCCCATCTCGATCCAGATACATTATGCTTTGTATATCGAGCAATAAAATTTCAGTAAAAAATAAATACAATTCCATGAGAAAATTTAATTGAAGCAGATGCAGCACATTTTGCACTATTTATTCACCTACTCTCTATGAGAATTCTTGCTCCTATATGTAATAAATTACTTTACTCGGATACGTAATGTAGCCAGAATCCCCGTTTTATGAGCTTTTGATACCGAGAATTTGATTTCTACCAAATGTCTGCACCTAAATTACACAGGATTTTCTCCAATATTCCGCAATAGTGATACAATATCGATTTAACCAATCATTGATGTTAAACATTAAAACATCGGTGTTAATAATATACCTGCCAAAATGCCAATTGATGTTTCAAAGCTGGTTTAGTAAAGTTAACGATTATTTCAAGCGTAACAAAATGTAAGAACAGATATATTTATAATTACGATTCAACAGAAGAAGTTAACTAATGGGGCTACATAATGGTACAGAGCGTACAAATCGAACCATTCTCGAATGCGCGCGTTCCATGTTGAATCCAAGCAAGTTTTCAAAAGAACTGTGGGCAGAAGCATCCAATACTGCCACATACCTCCTGAATCGCGCTGGAATGTCTGCCATTGAAACTAAGTCTCCTTGTGAATTGTGGCATGGATGACCAGTAAGAAGTCTCAATCATTTGAAGAATTTCGGAACAGAATGCTACGTGCAGAGCCACAAGAACTTCCACTTTAAGTTTGACGATAAGGCTGGTCGTGAACATCTGGTTCAATACGTGAACAACAGGGATGGCTTCAGGGTCTGTATTTCGAAGGAAGATAATCCTGAGCCACGATGTGAGATTCAAGCCTGACGTTGTCTGCAATGTGCGCGTTTTTCTGTCAATACTGACAAACTTGAAGATTCATGTGAAAAACTCGCATTATCCGTTGTACAAAAGCCAGAAGTCAACGACGATGAAAGATGGAAGAACAATGGAGTGAAGCCGAAGAAGTTGCACCAGTGTCCAGCTCCGGAGCAAGTGATGTTCCAGCTGAAGATGCCAAAGAAGAGAAAAAATCAAACGTGAATCGAAGAAACAATTGTGGGTGACCAACGGATATTTTGTATTTATGACCGGATCGTCAATCACTGAAAACAAGAATTCAAATTTCTACACCGAAGTGATGGAGTCTCCTGACAGAGAAGAGTAGATGAAGGCACTTTAGAAAAAAAAATGATACGGACACTCCGGAGCTGGACACTGGTGCAACTTCTTCAGCTTCACTCCATTGTTCTTCCATCTTTCATCGTCGTTGACTACTGGCTTTTGTACAACGAAATGTTGGTCGAACGTCCAAAAGATGAACAAATTTGAAGAATCGTTGGGTCTCCTGACAGAAACTTCTTTAACTTTTCTCCATATTTGTAATAAGGGACTGTAAGGTGCTAATACCATTTTCGGGTATTGCTAATTTTGGTTCGAAATAAAAAAAAATTATAAAATTAAAGATATTTTTGGCTCATACAAAGACTGTCGTACAAAATTACATCTTTACATCTTACAAATTAACATCTTTAGAAAAGGTTTTAAAAAAAACAACTAGGTTTTTGCATAATTTGCGCTTGAAATGTACAAAACAATTCTCAAAAACCGCTCCAATTTTTTTTCTTTAAATCCTCTCCACATATGTAATAAGGGAAGGTGAGAAATAATGTACTAGACCCATTTTCGGGCATTGCTCGTTTTGTTTTGAAAATTGCAAAAACATATCAAAACTACAAATTTGATCAAGATTTTTGCGTCAAGATTATTCTCTCTACTCGTGATACTTGTGATAGGCGTCATTGTCTCCCGGCTGTTTTCTTTCGTCGACCGAAAAACAAACCTTTTTCACATTTTCTTAATTACTCGGCTCCGTAATGCTAGAACTGAAACCACTATACACTTATTACTATTATAGAAGTATTCATCGCACGTCGTAACTGGATAGCCGAGGTCACAAATTGGCAAATAAGGCGTCAGCTCTTCGGAGGTCAAATTCGCTGGTTCGAGTCTTGACCCGGAAGTATTACTTGTGACAATTCTGTTACTGCAGGAAATAATTGATAATTCCAGAAACGTTATTGAAAACAATTTGAAGCAATTCTAAATGCAAATACTATTAATCAAGATAAATAAACTGAAAAAAGTATGTATGTGATTTTCGAATTTTCAACTTTTAAATAATTTTTCACGTCTCTTATTGGATTTGTAAAACGTATGAACCATCAAATCAGATGGTGTCTTTCGGGGTTTATGACTATTATAGAAGTCCCAATTCTCTGTATAACTTGGTATCCAAGTGGTTAAATGTCGGGTTCGGACTCGGCGTTTCAGCGGGAAGAGCCGCTGGTTCGAGCCTGGGTAAGGGATAATTATTTGTCACAACTCTTTTGCCGCAGAAAACTATTGAGAATTTCAGAAACTTATTTAAAATCATTTGAAGAATTTCTACTCACATATACAATCTATTAAAATTATAAATAAACTGGAAGTGTCTGTCATTCCCGTGTTTGAAATTTTCAATAAGTTTGCAACTCTCGTTCTATTTCTAAAACACATGTCACATCAAATCAATTGTTCGATGTAATATGCAAAGCAATATAATATTGCGGTGCGTTTAAAAACATTACGAGAAAGTATGTGTTTTGGCAGCACCACTAGCTTTAGTATACGTGAATACTTCCTTTGTTAATACGGGTAATAGCGCAAGCGACTAGGTTCATGAGCGAGTGACGCTGTGTAAAGTGTGCGTATTGTAAACTGCGGGACCAGAGAGTGATTTGCAAACGTGACACTAAAATAAAGTTTGTTTACTGTTTAAATACGGTTCGAATGTGTTTAATTGACACTACATTTGGCGACGATCATTACTAAGGTCGCTTCAAAAAGTTAAAAAAGTGAGAACAAAAACCAGGTAAAAGTGAAAAACGAAACGTATGTCGTTAATAACTAATAACAGAGAACTGCTCAGCAATGCCGGAATTTTCTATAAATAAGTTGAAAATTTTTCCTCATTGAGAAAGGTTGATCCAGGTGTTCAAATTTGGCATGGTACAAAAAAAATGTACCGCTGCGATTCAGAAGAAAGCGATGTTGATTGCATTATGGCGGAATAGGGCTGCAAGCTATTTTTTCGCTCTCCCAGACGATAACACGGTTTCAGGTGGAGATGCTTATTTATAGTGAAAACGGCCATACACGACTTCTTTAAACCAAAATCAAGCCCTAGTATGGGAGATATGATTTCCGGGAAAGAAATCCGGGTCCAAATCGTCGCGAAGTGTTTGCACAATTGGCAGGCGAGAAAGGAAATCTGGCACTCGCAAAAGTGATGGGCATCACCTGCGCAATTGAGCTTGCTTTGCAACACTTCTCGTGAACAGTTGAAGGTTATAGATGGGGAGTCTGTGGCAAACGTGACAAAAAAATGGGAGTTCCAAGTTCACGTCGAAAAAGGAACACATGATTTAGTTGTGATAAAGAAGAACACGTCCGTACCGACAATCGGTGTCCAGGGAAGACGAAGACCTGCCATCGAAAAAGAAGATTTTTGCAGTGGTTAGCAAGACAAAAATGATCGGCAAGGACTAAGAAAGAAGGAAAATCAAAAAGAATTCAGAGCCACAAAGAAGAAAATCGTGAAGGTACATTAAGTTGAAGAGAACTTAGATGATAACAATTATGCGTTCGACATAAGTGAACCACAGGTGACAAAGACCGTAAGCACCGAGTATGTGAATGTCAGTATTGGAGGAGTCTCTTTGAAAATTGTTGATTTGGGGACATCATGTGATATTCTTGATCGAGTAACGTGAAATATTTGTAAACAACCGAAAAGTGTTTGTAAATCAACAATTGATCTGATAAAAAGTTGTATGCTTACGTACAGAAACAGAGGTTAATGGTACTGGATGAAATCGAATGTGTTATCCAAGTCGGAAGTAAAGAAACACACAAAAGTAGCACATTTTGCAGCTGTTATAATTTTTTTGTATAAATATTATTTTACTATTCAAGGTATTAATAAACGTCCGTAAAAAAGCAAGCCGGAACACCCTCTGGCTCGATAGATCAACCCAACCAATTCTTAGTTCAAAATGTTCTAAGAAACGCACACAGATGGCGTTACAATCTACATTTTTCTTTTCATACTAACTCTTCCTCCAAAAGAAAAAAATCAAACGAACGCAAACTACACAAAATAAACTATATTAAATACTCTGCGGACGCAATCATCTGTATGCCGATCCTCTCACGAAGCAACTCAAATATAACCCTATCCAAGGTTTAGTCACTAGCAAGCTGATTGGTTCCGTCGATGTGCTCCAATTCCAGATCTCTTTCCAAGAAATGGCGAACATCCATGTGCTTTGATATGCGATTATATTCTGGGATTTTAGCTTGTTTTACGGCACCAACATTTTCAATGTAGAGCGTAAGAGATTTTTCCAGTTTCCAGCAATTAGTAATATTTTCAGCTAAATTAAATTTTCTCCTTCATCGTTGTCTTCGCGCCCAATTGGAGTAGTCACTCCGTTCGACTCGGCCATTCCAAAACTTTTCGTGTGTAGTCTTCTTGATCAATTGTTATTGATCCATCTTCATTTTGCTATATTCTCATACCCAAGAAGTTTATGAGAGATCCGTTTGTATGAAATTCCTGCTTGACCATTGCCATGAATTCCTCGAGTTCTATTTCAGTTGCAATAACCACACCGTCATCCACAGAAATTACACATGCGTCCCATCTCTCATGCGGTAGAAGAGATATGGAGCAGCACTACTGTTTTTGAATCTAGCTTTCTTCATAAAGGTGTCAAATCATTTGTTCCAGCAGAACAGCAGTCGAGCCATAACACTTTGGAGGTACACGCACTGAAAACTGAGCTTACTCCGTACTTTACCCCGACGGATTTTCGCTGTGTAAAGTAACTCTCGAATTTACTCTGGTATAACTGGAGTGAAACACTCCAAGAAGTTACTCGTGAGTAAACATGATTTATTCCAGAGAAAAACGGTTTGGTGAAACCGGCCCTGTGAGTGATATCTAAGTGAGAAGTTGTAATTGAAGAACTGCCTCCCATACATTGAGGACAATGGCTTTCAGTTGGGTGGAAAGGGCAAAATAAGATGGAGCAGAATCGAGATGGGGCTAAGCACTATCTCGGTATGTCTGAGGAACAAAAAAAGCTTTCGAGTTTTACCAAGAATTGACCCCAGTGTAGCTCTAGTTCCCACGGGAGGGTTTGGTAGGTCGCCTAGTTGCCGATAAAAGGCAGCCTGGAAGGGGATAGGGTAAAACCGAAAAGATAGCCGCGACTCAAAATAAAGGGGAATTATTATGAAAAAAAAACAACAAACACTCATTTTTGGCACTTTTAGTCTCAACATGTGACATCACTTCGAAAAATCTTTAAAAATTAAACATTTAAAACTCAGTTTTTAATTTACGAAAACATTTTCATTTAAATTCAATAGTAATAGAAATTCTCCCAGGCAAAGCCTCTGAAAAAACACCAAGCATGGAAAAATCGTAGAGGCACCACTCTCCCTATGTATGATTCCGAAAATCAGGAAAATGCCAGCCATACACACATGCCAAAAAGTGGACGCGGTCGACTAGAATCCTTAGAAGAGGGAAGAGAGATCGCCCAGCGACAGCTTATTCTACTTCCGATGACGTTGAAGGCGAACTCGATCTCCGTGAATCGGTCGGTCCCCCTAACATTTTTCAGTAGCTATTAATTTTAACCGGAACTTTCAAGCAAAAGTATTTTCGGATAATCATTAAAACGAATAAAATCGTATCGCAGCATGAGCAGAGTGTAGCCAGCGACATTTTACAGAATCTGTAATATGGCATATTCGACCAAAACATTTTGTATTACCCGTTCCAAAATCTAGTTTTTAAGATGACAATTTCATCTTGTACTGCATCTTTTGAATAACAGCAGACTCTAAAATTAATTCACTGGACTGTCGAGTCCGCCATGTCTGAATTATATTGTATTGTACAATCTTCTGCACCTCTCTGTATTTTCCAATTCTGACGTAGCGCTACAAATGGAATAGTCACTCTCAAAGTGACCATTTTCAGACACTACTGCACAAAGGGAGAGACATCAAAAAATGAATTGCCATTATTTCTGTGAAAGTAAAAGTTCTTTATTTTTCTTATCTACACATTCCTTATAAACTATGTGACAATGAAGACAGAGAAGAACTTTTTGATTTGTAATAATTCCAACAGTATAAAAATTCAACTAGATATTAGTTAACAAAAAATTTGATTTTTTAATAAACATTCTAATAAATAGCAACATAAAAAAAATTGTAACAACAATATCACACAAGACTAGATGTCAACACTATTTCTATATTATCAAAATAAAATTATTACAAACCTTTGAATTACCATGAACTTTAAGCCGATAGCTCTACATATTATGAAGTACTGTACCATTGTCGCAAGTTGCAGCTTTGAGATAAAACTAAACACACATTGGGAGTTTAAATTATATAACTACCAATTTTATCTTTATCTATTCTTTAATCAATCAAAGTTTTTAGTAAATATGTAAACAATTATTTAAAAAATTCTTAAAGTGAAAAACAAAAAGGAAACCTTTTTTCTACAGAAAAGCTTTATATGTAGATGTGAAAGTAATCTATATGTTGTTTTACAGGATTCCATTTCTTCAACTGAAAAATACATTTTACTTAGACAGAAGTACCCACAAGGAGTTTTCGGTCAAAACCCAGTCAAAATCAATTTGATTTTCAATCCATAAATAGTAGAATATAATACTTTAAGAGCATATAGAAAGAACAATCAGTCCTTTTAGGCTTGAAAATGAAAAATATCACATTTTAGGCTTGAAATGAAAAATATCACATGCTTAAAAATTGGAGTAAGAATGTATAGTTTAAATTAAAGATGAAATATTATGTTCAAAAAAATGTAATTTTAATAAACTATTTTAGGACCTATTACATTTTAAATGCTCTCCTTGAAAATTTGGTATTTTGATCCCTGATCGTTCTTTTATGAAACACTTTGAAATATTTAACTATCATCTTGAGGTAAACTGTACCTCCTCATATGAACACTCCCCCCCCCCTCTCACCACTTCATAATCAAGCCTTCTTCTCAGTCATGGCTTGAGAGTCTGTATGTAAGCTCCACCATATTCCGCTAGTGTACTCCATAGGAATACTAGCAAACTGTAACTGCACTATCTGAACAGCCCTGTCCAAGATAATTCTGTAATTCTAGATTCCACATTTCAAAATGCTGTTTGGGGCCTAGATAAAGAACTGAGAACTCATGTAGGCCTCTCAATAAAACTGCTGTTATTCACATAAATAAGCGCTTCATTAATTTTGAAGAATTCATAATTAACTTCGATTTAGAGATGTATTAATTATACACCTTTTAACGGAGCAAACTAATCTGCATAATTTCACTTGTAAATTAAATAAATTTTATCTTGGATATATATCGCAACCTGCATTAATATTTTGGCAATTTAAGTTCTTGACATACATTTTTATCATTTTGTATTATATTATTCACACATATATAACTTAACTTATATTAACCTTTTATTGCCCTGAAAAAGGAAAAAAAAGAATTTTTTTTTTTTTAATATGAGGAAAATATCAATTTGGATTATGAAAGCATTTAAGCCTGGTAGTAGAAAAGTATCTGTTGCCATATCCAAAATTTTCTTCTAACATTATTCAGATATCTGGGTACTCACCCTTCAGAGAGGGCATGAATGTGCTGGTTTTTCTTACATTTTCAAAAGATGAATAATGGCTGAATGACTATTGAAATACCTATGCATGTTTTCAGTATAAACATAAGGTGACACTAAAATGTTTATGAAAGCAATGGATTTGCTGTGCCTAATCCACAGTACCCCATGATGGTTGTTCACCCCTACCCTCTGGGATCTTGTTATTGGCTCACTGAGCACCCAATGTTCAAAAACAATCTGCATGTCATTCACATTCTCTTTGGTCTGATGGACCAAATGCCCCTCCCAGGTTTTTGACTTGTTGAATAACATCAAGGAGCTACACATCCCGCTATCCTCTTTTCCCAGCGCAATCACCTATACTTCCACATTCTGGCACACCTCTATGCCTGCAGTACACACATGGATTATCCCCTGGTAGAAGAGTACAGTTAAAAAAAAATTATGATGCCATTATGACTGATGGGGGTTACTGGACAATTGAAACATATATTACAAAAAACAAAACCCAACTACAACTGCCTCTGGTTGTGAATATTTACATACATCCCATAGCCTATTCATTCTTTATGTTTTGATATGTATCCGAGAGTAAGTGTACACTTTAACATTGATCATCAGATAGAATAGCCTAAAGCAATCATGATGCAAGCCAAACAGAAAGCTGCTATAAAAACACTTAGCAAATAAGCTAATGTTTTACCTTAAAACCAAACACATGAATTTATTAAATATTTCATTCAGCAAATAGGATTCTAAAGAGATTTTTCCCTAGTATAACTTCTACAGAGAAAGCTGTGTGAACATTCATTAAATTTCACTTGATAACAAACACCAAAATATTATATAGAGTTAAGAAACGAACTGATATGAAAGCTGATTTATTAAGATAAAATAATTCAGTGCTTTTAATATACATTAATTATTGTAAACCCTCAGTTAACTGTAATGATGATGACATGTAAAATTATATATATATATATATATATATATATATATATATATTTTTTGAATCTCACGGCTTTAAAGAAATAATTGCAACCTACAGCATTTTCTTCAAATCAATAGCATTCATTTGTGCCAGCTTTGAATAGTTCTCAAAGTATTTATAAAGCAATTATCATCACATTTTCATTTTATATTTATAGTAAAGAAATGTGATTAGAAAATTGAAATGAAAAAATGTAGCAAAATTATGTACATCCATACTGAGGTCAGGTCTCACTTTCAAGCCATGACCTGGTGGTTAAAAATCCTGTTCTCAAAGAATTTTTAAATATTCTTCATTTGTTTCTTAGTGACAGTATGAAGAGCTTTGTTCAACTAGGGATGGCTTATTTATGGTGATATCTCGGTAACTTGGTATATTAATTTCCTAATATTTCTTTTAAGTATAAAAACCAAAGGTAATTTATTGCTAAATATTGTCTAGTTTTGGCTTCAGCATTTGTGCTAAGTCCAAGAAAATCATAGGGGATTATACCATCATGATATCCATAACATACGGTCATCTACCAATACCTTCTGTCCATGCCATGTTAATGATTTTTAAATCCTAGAGACATGATACAACATAATGCAAATCTTAAAAAATAATTCTTATAATTGCAGAATTAATCTCCATTACATGAAATGTATATAAATATGACTATTTTTTTTTTATTGGGTGAAAATAAATATTGCATTGTTTCATCTCTTCACCATCTCTAGTTTCAAATCATTTATGGTTGGCATCACAAAACTGAAGGCATCAAACCAAAATCATAAATGCTAAAAGCAGTTTCAGAAGCAACATCAAACTTTTTCCTTAAACATAATGATGAGACCATAACTGAATAACACTGCTTCGATTTAGGATTTCAAAAGATCTTAGTAATTTCTTGCAATTGCTATGCCAGATTTTTGTTCCAGAAAGATATTTATTTACAATAGGTTCCCATCCTATAATTTAAATCATATATGTTCAGTTGCGTAACTACTGCTGATGTGGCTCATAAACAAAAATGCAACTAAAATTTGTTCTAAAATCACTTAGAAGAAGTAGACATCATAATAGCAGATATGCCATCATACAAGATAAGGTTTGCATGAATAGATGTGCAGACTTAATTAGATGCAACATAATCTGGTGTAATGCAAAGATATGAAAGTAAACATTTGGTTTGGATACATTTCAAAACCAATACTAAAATATTTTGTTATCAAAAACAGAAACGGAACCTGGAACATTATTTGAAACTGTTTGATGCCCTGATAAAAATGCACAATCCAATTTTCTATTTTAGTTTCAAGGCTAGTAGGGTAACCCCTTACCCATGCCTCCCAGAACAGCTCCAGTGACACTTTTGGTGTGATCACTAGGATCTTATATGGCCCCTATATCAGTATTACATTTATTATGTTTAAGTCAGATGTACAAGACATACTGCAACGGGCAGAGAAAAAAAAAACACAATAAGGTATCTTCAATTTTCAGCTTCTTTATTAATAATACCTGAAATAATAATTTCAAAGTTTTGAAGATTCATGTAAAATTCCTTTCATTGATTGCTACAGCATGAAAAATTTTTATGAAATTTTTGTCAACCCACTAAGTAAAACCAAAAACTCATCCACGTCCTTCAAATCATTTTAAATCTTCTTCTTCAAATGATTTCAAGTTAACCTCTTTTCATGAGAGCTGGGATCAACTTTTGGGCTTAAAAATATTCCTGCAACCACAAATACAAAATTTTCACTCATCTACATAGGAATGTTACTTGGCGTTTTCTTGGAGTTTACTTCAAACTTCACAACACATGTCCTTACTTTAAATTATTAATATTAACAATACCTCAACTTTCTGGAACATGTGTGATACCAAGAACTGCAATAGCAGACTCAATTTGATATCCTTTCACCAGCACCAGAATAGTGAAGACTAAACTTCACCATTACTAACACAAGGGCTCATTAAAATTTCTTTACAAAGGCCACAAATCTCCTGTTCATGCTTGGCACCAAAAGAAAGGACCAATATCTACGCTTGAACTTTAACCAATGAAAGATTTCGATGTTTGCTTAAAACAAGCTCAGTACAACTTAAAACAATCAAATTCATCCATGTGATTACCTTGAATGATTCTTATAAAGGTTTATACTACCCAGGTGACATCTGTTTACCATTATCCTACAATGCAACTAACATACTGACAGTACTATTATGTCTTTCATGCTGCACATAGGTGGCTACCTTCAGTCATCTGATGCACATCATTTCTCTCAAGTTGCTTCCAGTTCCAACTTTCCTCCTTCCAAAATGCAGCAAAACTCATTAGGAAGAATCTCATAAATTTTTGTGTTATCTGGAAGTGTGTTTCTCTTCATATCAATACATATGAGAATTCTTCTACACTAACCGAGTTAATAATGTAGATTCTTCAAAAATAAATATGTTTGACAGTTCTTACAAAGATGAAATATCATCTCACCCTGTAGTGCCTTCCTTAAGACTTCTCCATGTAACAGCACGGACTTGGCCACGAGGCAAGCCCAAGGCAATGACTATGTCGTCTGGTTTGTGCATAGACAAATCCTTCAACCAATCCACTTCTCCCAGAGTAACCTGTGAGAGATCAGGTGTTGAGGAACTGAAATCACACAAAGGACCGATATTTCTTACATTTACATATAGTACAACTGGTGTCATAATTATAATTATCTTTGATCATAAATGTGAGTATTAGTGTTGTAAATAATCACACGAATTCTTGTAAAACAATTTTACATTTGACATTTTCACTGGTACGAGATGACTGACATACCAGTGACTTGCTGACAATTTGGTTATGTGATCCCATTACCCATAATAACCCTGAAATTCTCTACAGTCCTGTGTCCATTTCATTGTATTTTGGTGCAAAAAAGTAATGTGTTTTGCCTCTATAAAATTTATAATAAAGAAAGGAATGGACTAAATTTATTCCAATAAATCTTATAATTTTCAAAACATGTTATATACTGAATTAATATATTTTCCAACACAACAATTAATCAGATAATTAATAAATACAACATAATGATTTTTCCTATGCAGATTTCAGTATTTATGTGATATTAATATTAATTTGACTTAAACTCTTTTTTTGTTATTTTATTTCAAAAGAAGGTTCTGTAATTCCTAATGAAACATTGACAGAATTATGATGCCATGAGCTGAAAACTCTCATGCGCACATGAGTGCGTATGTGTATATACAAGTCTAAATATCTTAATTTTTTATCCATTTTTTGTACTTATGTAAATCTTAAGATGGAGTTGTGAACTCAGGTAAAGATAGTTCCTTATGTAATTAAAATTAAGACATCCATGTTTCCATTACTAATAAACTGTTTCTCACCTTGAGTGAGGTAGATGGCAACCACCAATCACATTTCCTGTTGATAGTTCTATTATAAGCAAGTTGAGCTTGGAGTAATGACTGTGAGGCAGAAGCAGCAATGCAAATTTTTCTCCAACAGCCAGTAATTTTCTCACTTTCTGTTTCAACTGCACCCTTCTGGATACCTTTTGTGTCACGAGGTTTTGAAATACAATTTCTGCATCACCATGTTCATCTTTTATCAAAGTTTGTTTTACATACACTGCATTACCATCTACCACATGACAGCCTGGTGTAAAGAACTTATGCACAGAATTTAAAGGGAGTTCTATAACAGACTTATCAATTGTGCTGACATCCCCATATTTTTCCTTCCCTTCAGAATGAACATTCCAAGAGTATATTCGTACGTGATCTCTTGTCATAGTAAGTAAGGAATGCACTCCGCTAAATTGTGTTTTGCTATTGTCATTTTCCAATGTTGGAAGGAGGGTGACTTGAACCACCCAATGTGAATGAGGAACAAGAGTTTTCAGTAAACTTCCAGAACTGATAGACCACAACTTTGCAGTAAAATCAGTTGCACCACTGATCATTAGGTCAATATCACAATTCACATTCACTGACATAACAACACCAGTATGAGAACGGTATTCATGTCGAAACAATCCTGTGCAGCCGTCTGTTAGGCTTAATGACCACGTTGTTAAGCAACCATTATTATGGCCAACAGCCAACAAGCAACTTTTATAAACATGCACACAAGAAATGCGATAAGGCACTTGAAACACTACTAACAGTTCAAAGTCTTTTGCGTGCCAAATTCCAACTTGATAATCAGCACCTTTAAAACAAAAATGTTGCCTTTAGAAAACAAACAAAATGCAAGTAATTATAATATAAGAAATATAATTAAAACTTTCAATAATTATTATATTCGGTATTGAAGTATTCAATATTTATTGATTACTTGAGAATGACCATTCACAGATGCAATATTTTTTGCAAGTAGAAAATCAATGTTATGAAGCAAATTTAAAAAAAAATAATAGTAAATTGTAGTACAAAATACAAGCTTACTGTAGTACATACTGAAAAATTAAAAGCATACAAATCATGTGAACAAAGAAACTGGCAGTTGGTAAAAAATTGAAGAAATTGGTAAACAAAAGTAGATTATATTGAAATGGTATCCTGATTTTTCTTTTGTTTTGTTTTTTCTTGGATGAAATCATGGGAAAGGTGAAATATCATGAGAACTTCCCTTTGAGTCGGGTCGGATCTGGCCCACCAAACCATCCTCCCTTGGTATCCAACCATTTAATTACAGGTCTCTCAAAAAGCGCTCTGATGCAGAAAGTTTCACGTCAGGGGACAACACCAAAACAAAACCAAAACACAACAACAAAAGTCTTATCCTCGGAACTGTATCTATAATGTTTGTATTTCATGTGGATAGATTCAGTAGTTTTTTAGTTGAATCTGATTCATACATACAGACAGACAGACAGGCAGGCAGGCATCAATTGATATGAAGAGATTTAAATGTTTGTAATTGAATAAGCAAGTTGCAAAATTGCAAAGAAAAATATATCTTTTAGAGGTGAAGAATTGATTAAAAAAATATTTAAACTTTTGCAATTTTCAAAATTTTGAAGGTTTTAATGAAAATTGGAACTTTACAATATTCACAAATGCAGTTTCCTCTACATAAGCAAAAAATTCAAAGAACAAATTTAGTCATTTTTCAGAAAATTTTGAAAATCTTACGAAGGGGTTTCATGTTAAGTTTTTTTCTACTTTTGACTGCAGAAGTATTTGTCAATATCTTAAAAGCAAGGACTATTTGATTCAAAGTAAAGACCATTTGATTAACAATTATTTGGGTCGCTAGCAAGAAGGAAAATTGAAAAATTAACATAAAAGGAGCAAAAAGAAAAACAGTGAAATTATGTGAAAAAATTACTTTATTGGAAAAGTTGGAATTATGTGAAAAAAAAAACAAACAAATAATATAAAATAAATAATAAATAAATAAAATTAAAGATACCTACTGCCCAAGCAACGTGGATCACTTACAAATGTTCACAACACGATTGGAAAAAGTATGAAAACTGAAAGAAAGAAAAAAAAAAATAGGTACGGCTAGGTGGCAGCCATCTTTTGGGATGGAGAGAAGAGAAAGCCTACCAAGATGTGGGAGGGGAAGGAACTAGAAGAGTATAAGGGGTTGTCATTAACAGTTTTAAAATTGGCTGCTTCATACAGAAATGTTAATACAGGACAGAAGATTGGGAATTTTAAATTACAAATAGGACATTATACACAAGGTGAAGAAATTTGCAGAAAAAGAATGATTAGGGGCTAGTCAATAAAAATATTTAAAATGGGACTGCTTCTAATTCAAGAATGTTCATTCAAGATAGAATAATTGGTATTTTTGAAAAGTTTTAGAATTTCCAAGTTCTCAAACTTTTTTTTTGTCTTTGTTGACTAAGTGAAGGATTTTAAAATTATAATTAGAGTTAAAAGAATGGTTAAATTTAATCAAAATAATGGCAAAGCTGAAAGAGTCTAATTTTTTTTTTTTTACCATATAATATGTTCATTAAATCTAACTGAAAATTTTCTGCCTGTTTGGCCTACCTAGGCTGAATCACAGTTTTTACAAGAAAATATGGTTACAAGGTGATAAATGCTACTTCTTTCACTGGGGGGGGGATTTGGAACTAGGGAATAAAGATTGGATTTAATTTAAAGTGTTGTAAGCTACTGAAATATTGTGTTTAGTGAAGCAGTGTCCTATATGTTTAGATACTGGACCTTTGTAGGACCTAAGTAAGAGATGTAAAGAAATTTCTTAGGTTCTACAGGGCAATGTTGAGGAAAAACTTTATTCAAAATCATTTTTACACCTTTTGGACTCGTAAAGTTATTGATGGACTAGGACCATAACCATTATTTAACACAATGGTTAGAATGGCATTGACTTCATTATTAATATCTATATCTGCCATAGGAACCTGGAATAGTCTGTTGATCCAGGAGTGGAAAACAGCATTTATGATGGTGAATGTGATTGGAATGGGAAGGGATGATTAAATCTGTATGAGTGGGTTTTCTGAATATTTTAAACATGTGTTTTGAGTTTTTAATAATAATGGTTAAATCAAGGAAATTCAAGGAATGGTTATGTTCAATTTCCTTAGAGAATTTTAATTTTGGATGTAATGAATTAAGAAAATCAAAGAACTGGCTCAATTGCCTACAAGTTCCTGACCAGAGACTTATGTCATTGACATACCTCTAAATATAAATAATGTTTTTGAGAAGAGGGTTCAAGCTACTGAATATGTTTTCCTCAAAATGATCCATGAACAGTTCAGTCACAAGTCTGTAAACGTTAGAGCCGATAGCTAATCCTTCTGTTTGTGAATAGAATTTGTTGTTGAATGTGAAAAAAATATGTGTTATACATAAGTCAGGTAGTTTGATAAAATCTATTTTCTCTAAGTATGATAGTTTTGATTTGATAATAAGATAAATATAAATATCTTGGACTTCATTTTGGGGAATGTTGGTATATAAATCTTCACATCAAAAGAAACTAATTTTGCATTTTCATCAATATCTTTAATTTTGTACTGATGTTGGGACACCCTACTTGAAACATTTGAATTTATACAATACTGGTGGATCCGGCAATGCTTGCTATTGCAGTGTGTTTCACATCTTCCTACTGGTCATGTGATTCTTAATCACTATTTATGCAATGCTATGAAACAAAAAAGATGAAAGACTTTCTTGCAAGTATGGGATTGCTCTATGTCCTGATTTGAGCATGGTTGTCAAGTATCCTATTGTTAAAACGTTCTCCCTCAAATTTGAACACGTATTTGCTACGACACCATCTTGGAGCAATTTGAATTACTTGTCCGAGATTCATATAATAATTCCAGGCGATATTTCACAATCGAAGGGGCAGAATCTTGAATGCAGTGACACGCGCTTGACTGTGCGGCGGGTTGCGTAGAGTTCAGAGGCGTTTAAATCATCATAAAGGAATAAATCATCAACAATGCCCCCATATGTTCAATTTAATCCAAACCACTCTTTCACCACTCCCATTACTAATAAGAACAAAGTGTGGAAATTTCGGCGAAATCGGTCGAGACGATTTTTGGTCTATGTGCGAGACATACGCACATTCCCTTTAATTTTTAAAAATAGATCAATAGATTTGGAAACCAACTGGCTAGTGAATTTGAAGTCATTTATAATAAAGTATGCACCACTATATCTTTTAAAACATTGAGAGGCGTATGTACATTCCCGGGGGCCTCTGTATATGACTAACAGAAATTGCCAGCTTGATGGAGATCGGCGGATGTCCTCATTCAGGAGCCCAGGTGCCGCGTTCCTATTGCACCCGCCTATTTTTCCCCTGGTCAAAAAGAATATTAAAATGTATACTCACATCCAATAAGAATTCCCTTGCAATAATGTAATGCTGTAATTTGATCCAATGAAACCAACGAGGCAGAAATATTGTGATGCTGGAATATGCTTCCATTTCGTATGTCCTCCATAAATTTTAACGCTTTAATGCATGTTCTCTTACAATTTTCTGAATCTTTTAACTTGGACCCTAAACTGATGGTCTTGTACTTCCTATACCACACTTCAGACAACGATGAAATGATGCTACAAAATAAAAAGCCCAGTATTAGTAAGCACAAAATATATTCCGAGGCTCTCAATGAAAAAAAAAAAAAAAAAAAAATCCCTTCATAGTTGAGCAATGCTCTTCTAGGCTATTTAATTTCTTGACAGGGGAATGGAAACAATTCATTAACTGCTTCAGGGCAACTAAAAGCATATGCCTGCACCATGAATTTACGTAGTATGATACAAGTCAGGTTACTTTTCAAACGGTTTAATACGTGTACTACTCGTACACTTGGCTTGATATTCAGAGTTGTGGTAAAACAACACACGCTCCTGCACGTTATTTCTAACTTTTGCAATTTTCGAAAATTCAAAGTTTAAGTAAAATAAGACCTGCGCTCTATTGGAGGAACAAAAATTTAAAAAAATTGGAGCTGTTTTTTGGGGGCGGGGGAATCCAAATTGGCTTTATTTCAACAACAAAAACGCGAAAACTACTAGTTTTTACAAAAACCTATACATCACCTACCTTGAATATCTTTTTTTGGAGCAGATGTCACTCAGAAAACAAGGTGCCTTACCAAATTGTTCAGTTTGTTGATTTAGTCACATTTCACTTAACTGCTCTAGCACTCAAAGGTTCATGAAAGAGTTTCTGAAGAGAAGTGTAGCTTATTAAAAGAGCAAAGATGCACATTAGCTTACAGTTAATTTTGTGCATTAAGTATGTTAATGAAACTGTTGCCCAATTTATTACATATTATAAAGAACATTCTTTCCTCTCCTAACTAATAGCAAAAAAGCGCAAGGGTTTACAAGTTGTTTACATTCAAATTATTTTAAATATGTATTAGGGGGAATTGTGTTGGGAGGCAGGGCAGTCAGTAAATTACGGGTCGGAAAAATCTCTAAGAACTTTGAGGGGTTTTCATAGGTTGGGGTGTTTTATGTTGACTTTTGCAAAAGAGTGCAGAAACGGATATTACTCGCGCAACTTTTCTTGACCGATGACCTTGCTTCCCCCTCTCTGACACAATAAACAGTTGAAGATAAAAGCTTACAGCGTGCACTGATGACAACATTGCAAACACATCTTCACTGGCGCGAAATATAAACTATTTTCCGTTGAAAACTTGAACATCTCTCTGTAATTTTCTTAAAAACATCTAAAGAAAT